GGAAGTGGTTGATAGATACAGATTAGCGGATGTCACTGGACTCCTGATGTGGCCCTCCTGTAACTCAAACTTTCGGCCAGGGACATTAGATTCTTCTTTTTTGGGCTGGAAATATAGAGGACTTGTGACTTTGAGCCAGTTTGTAGAAGGTAACACCTTCAAAACATTTGAGCAACTGAAAAGGGAGTATAATCTTGAGAACAGAGATTTATTTAAATATTTCCAGGTAAGGCATTTTTACAATACGAAAATAAAAAAAGGTGTTCCTCCAGAAGGTAATACTATTGTGAACATTTTTACGAAAGCTTATACTCACCTCCCTTGTAAAACTGTTTCCAAACTATATAAAGGGTTGCAGGAACATAATGGAAATAACACCTTAAACATTAAGTCTAAATGGGAAAGAGAATTGGGAGTTATAATTACAGAGGATGATTGGCTTTCAATGTGTGTGACACAACAGACATCTACTAGTTCCAAAAGATGGAGGGAATTCGGATGGAAGTGCTTAATCAGATACTTTATTACACCTCAAATTACTAGTAGATATAGAGGAGAAGAACAGCAATGTTGGAGACAGTGTGGTCATCAGAACGCCAACCACTCTCATGTATTTTGGTCCTGCCCAAAGTTGGCAACTTACTGGGATGGAATCTGTCAGACAACTGGGATAATTTTGGGGTATGTCATCCCCAATGACCCTAGAATTTTTCTGCTGGGATTGATGTCTGGAAAAGTGTTTCAAAAAGAAGATCAGTACCTTTTTAGAGTTCTGTCAATTGCAAGCAAAAAAGCAATTACACGGTCTTGGCTAAAGAAACTGCCACCCCAGCTGGACCACTGGCGAGATGTCGTGGAGGAGATTCACTCTATGGAAAAACTGACATATCTTTTACGTATGAAAGGTCATTCATACAACAAACGCTGGTCTAAATGGCTGACTTACAAGAGCAAGGAAGCATAACTAGGTGTATCATCTTGTAATGTATTATTTTGTTTCTGTCTTTCTACTTATCTAAGTATCAGTGCCCCAAGTTCTGTGTGTGTTGTATGTTTTATTGTAATGAAAAATGTTAAATAAAGAGTATAAAAAAAAAAAAAAAAAAACTAGCTTGTTTCTCATAAACCAACTACTATCAAATAATTCTACCAAACGTAAAAATATGTTGGCATATGCAGCAGAAATGTGTCCTTTTTAAGGTCTGATTTCACTACACCACCTCTGATCTCCATTAGGGGCAGAGGAGTCTTATGATAGAAGATTCTTAATCAGTACTAAGATATTTAAAATTAAGATGACATATAATCTATTAGTGGGATATGTAAAATTACTAAAATTAAATATTGTTAAAGCAGAACATCTGTACAGATGGTTAAGATGGGACATGGCCATAAAAACGTTTCTACACCCTTGGTGGAGTGGGCCATCTGGTCTGGGTCTTAACCGAAGTTAGGCTCGGGTCTTTGGGGTCGATCTGTGCTTGGGCTTGTTGGGATCTGGAGGCTTGTCTACCTTTCTCCACCAGAGGGCACCTGAGATCTTCCTCCTGAGGGCGTTAGCTGACTTCTACACACCTGTTTCCCATCTGCTCATCTAGAGGCCTTCTTAAGGAGGAGGAGGCTGACACTTCCCTGCCAGAGTGTTTACCAGTAATGGTACCAGCAAACCTGAGCCAGCCTAATCTAATCTGTTTTTCCTGATTTTTTGAGAAACCCTCTGACTCTGTGTTCTTCTGCCTCTCAGAACCTGACAAACCTGGAAACCAGTCAATTCCTGGAGAAAACTCTCGCTGCCTGGAACCTGCCTGTCTGCCCTCTGCCTCAGCCTCTGTCTCCGCCTCTGCCCTCAGCCCTCAGCTTGCCGACCAGCCTCTGGACCCATAAGGTATAAGTTCAAGCCACCGTTTAGCAGCAAGTTTCTTGGATCCTCTCTAACCGATCTGTCCTCCTCTAGTTGCTTCCCTCCCGTGACCAGCCTGACGAACCAAGATGACGTTCATATTTCTCTGAAAACATTGTCAATAAATCTTCTAACTTTTTCCCTGTCTCTGAGTGTTTCTGCATGTGGGTTAGACGATTAGACCCCAACATGACAGGGCTAGAGTTTTAACTTTTCCAGGGTTGCTTGGACCTTTGGATTTCAGCTCAGGTTTTGGTGCCTGATGTTCAGACTGGAAAGGCTGCAGGATTCTGTCATAGGTCAGCTAGGTATTGTTGGGATCTTTGCATATTTCTTTCTAATGTAGTTAGAAATGCATAATTTCTTTGTCCCTTTGATACTTTTTGTCTGTTCCATTCATTCTTTTTCTTTGCAGATGTAGAAGCAGACGCGTAGGATTTAATCTTATATTTTATCATAATAATTTTTTCTCTTCTCTGTGCTTTCATTTCTGTCTCTGTGCTCAATGTATTTAGAATAATCTCCCCCCTCTCCCCAAAATATTACCAAAAAAAAAATATATATATATATATATATATATGTACATATACATATAGCCCCGCATTACAGCAAAAGCCATAATGCTCCATGTAAAAGTAAATCCATTTGGCTCCTCATTGAGATAATTTTGAGTACTACACTGCCAGATGAGGCAAGTAAGAAAAACAATTAAAAGAATAACTCAAACTTCTAATGGAAGAATGAGCAATATACCCTAAAAATGCAGTTAATAAAATTCTAAAATTACAAGGCTATGAAACAATCAACAGAAAGAAATTACTTTAATTTACACTGTGTTGCTTGATTAAATGAGATTCTCTTTCCCCCTTTCACATACCCTTCTTCTACAGCTTCATGTTTCAAGGCTCTCTAGCCATCAAAGAGCTCTGGTCATGGTGGCAATGTCAAAGATGGTTTTAAATGCATGTAATCTCCTTTTTCATTAAAAAAATGTTAAATTTTCCAGCTTATCTGACATTTAATACAAAAAAACAATCAGGTGAGAGACATTTAGATTAAATAAGCTAATTTCTGTGGTTGTCATTATTTTCATAAGAAATTACAGTAGCTAAATGATTGAAACTACACCGAATCCAAATGATTCCAGATGACAGTTTGACTGAATGTCAAGAGAAAAAAGTTCCAAGGCTTGCTACTGGCCAGGACATTTCAACATGAAGGCTAGAAACATGTAGTTTTATGGCACATTTGGTTATTTTAGGAGTATAACAGCATTTAAATTCCTTTTGTCACACGAAGATACGAAAAGCATTACTGTTTGCAGTTCTTATTAGAGGATTCTACTTACAGAACTGATCTGAATCTCAGCATCAATGAGGCTTTGGACTACATCTGGTGGAACCAACAAATCCTCCATCAGATGGGTGGTAAAGCTTTCGTTGTCTTGTAGGACACTTCTTAGGGTCGCTAAGAGGGGGTCACAGAGACAAAGATTGTTATTTATTAATTATTTTTAGACAAAGTTATGCATGAGGTTAAAAAGTTATAATTCTAGGGAACAAAAAACATATTTGATGATTTCTACCTTTAAAAAAAGCTCATTTTTTCTTCTGAATTGTCATGACAACCACATCACAGAAACAAAAATTAATTACATTAAGTGTTATAATCTGTAGGAATTGGTTCTTCCTTTCATAATAGAAACCTAATACCTAATATGTCAGGTTTAGTGGCAGTTAGTTGAGGACCCAAATGCAGAAATGAAGAGGCTGATATGATTTCTTGCAGATTTAATTTAGAGGTAGATGGTAAGAGGCCCAAATCCAGAAATAATAAACAGGGAACCAACACTAGGGGAAGCCAGGGAGAAACACACATTAGGAGTGAAGAGCATCCAGCAATGAGGAACTGCAGAGGAGGAGTATATATGGGAGAAAGCAATGCATGGAGTGATTAGCTAATTGGGAGCAGGTGTGGACAGAAGCAGCTGAGGGGAAAGAGGAGGGTCAAGATGGAGTAAACGGGGCTTAACTGAAACTAGAAAAGAAATTAAATGAACCAACAGGGAAATAATATCAGTGACTAGAAAAAACAAAGAATGAGCAAGTGGAAAACTAGAGGATAGGAGAATGGACTGGAGAGAACTGAAAAACAACCAAACAGGAATAGTAAAACTAATAAGTAATTCAAAAACATGCTATCAGCCTAACTGAAAACCCAGACTGAAAACTAAACAGAACCAAAAATTCCAGAACGGTAGATCATAACATAATATCCTGTCTTTACAAACTGAAGGTGATATTTTAATGGCAGGGATAACTTTAGACTTGAAAATGTCATCAAGAAATATAGTATGCTCTTCAAGGAACAAGGAAGAGGATCAATAATGCTGTGGGCCTGTTTTTCTTCCAGACTTTGTGCTACCTGGACAATCTAAGCAGAAATCTGAAAACTCAAAGTAGATATTCCATGGGTCTTTAAGTGGTGTACTATCCATTTAAGCAAATGTAAGTCATAAACTTTGACTATTTTACTCTGAAAATAATGCTCTCTTCTTTAAGGTTGTATAAAAATCAGTTGCAAGATGGATGAACGCATAACCTGGATATAAAAGCCAAAAGAGCCGACACGCTTGATGCTTTGTATTTTCCAGACTATTAGCAAACTATTTTCCATCGATTATCTGCCATAACATTGAGCCAGTTTCCTAAAATCCCATTATTGCTACACTCATCGTTGAAATAAGCAATGATGTAGCACAGCGGGGGTCCAAATTCTGTGTGCCTACAAATTCAACTCAATGCTATTTTCTCCAACTTTTTTTGCGGTTGATGATGAAGAGACCACATAAAATAATCAAATTACAGCTTTTGTAATTGTGATATGGGTACCACAGTCAATTATGTGGATCAGATGGTAAAGGTCCAATTATGACAGATGTATTGTGGAAATGACTGGAATTAATTACATCATAGGAAACACAGTTTTCACCTTGTGAGTCCTACTGATGTCTATTATTATGCTCCTCATGACTACAGGAGGGTTTGATGACAGGGAAACAGAACATGCTTTGCACAAATGACCACCTGGGTCTTCTTAATCAGCCCATGGTCACTACAAAACAAAAAAGAAAAGACGACACAATCACCTTTGCCATTTTAGCGTTTTTGATAGCACTTCATTCCCTTTCCTTCTTAATGATCTTTTGTGCTCTCACCTCAGACAGCAAGTGCCATTAATTATGTCCAGGCTTAGATCTTTGATGGATTTAATCTTGTATATTACAAACCGTCGACCCCAAAATGCAAATGGCTCACAAGCCACTTGTCGAACAGCAGAGCCCTCCCTTCCTCCCTCTCTCTATTGGCTTTTTGCAAATTAGGTGCAGTATGAAAATCTGAATATCATCAGACTAAATGAGCCTAATGCAAAGCAGCAGCTTATCAAGACAAACGATCTGTCAGTCTGCATAGCAAATTGCATCATAAATAATCACACACCATTGTTTTTAAGGGATAAAGGGGAATAACAAATCCTCCAACTTGTCATCCGCATGAAGGGGATATTTTTCTTGATGGAGTGCAGTTTGACAAAGGCATGGCAGAGCTTTTTGTCTTTCTATCTTTTTCTTTGGGGGGACTGTGCACTGTCCTTATTACCCTCAAGTGTTTTTCGATTGACGGAAGAGTTGATAGCCATCTGAGCAAACTCAGCCATTGTCCAATGAATCTCTAAGTTTGGTTCAGCTATCTTATTGAGATATGTTTCCCCTGTGTGGCAAGCTTGGAGGTAGAATTGTTAGAACCCGAGACCCACCCAGTTCACTAAAAAGTAATGGAAATTCTCCTTTTTTTGACTTTCCTGCCTTTCCTCTAAATTTATATGAGATTTAAAAAAAACATGAATTTAAACTCTAAAGAGATTCATAGATTAAATGGGAAAAAAAAGAAATTAATTGCTATTGTGGTTACCAATCTCCTTACGTTTGCCGAGGTTGACTTTGGATAGGACTGAAGTCCACTGGTCAACATCATCTACCAGCACCTGCACCCCGCTGAGGAAAGACCTGTCTGCCAAAACAGACTGTAGCTCTATCAACACTCCGGCAATTCTGGCACATTGAGAAGACAGAGGAGAAAAAAATATGTAAATAAAACCAGTACTACCACGTTAATGGAGACATTATGTTTTGTGTTATTGCAGACTTTACATTGAGTTGTCGAAGTTATTGACTTGGCCTGGCGTCTCCCCTGGAGGTGGGTGGTTTAAACAAGGGTTGTCGATGTTGCATATCATACCTTGAAGCCATGGCAGCATGCCGGCAGATGGCATTGCTTTGTTTGGGTAGTGACCTATGGAAAAAGAGAGAGAGAGAGAGACTTGAATGCACGTTCTTTGACCATATCTAACTGAAGGGTAAAGATTGAGCTAAAATAATATCTATTGACGACTATCATAAAAGGCCTTGTCATAGTGATACCAGATACTGTCAGTATGTCACTTTTCTTAGCAAATTTAGGTGTGAAGTACGATCATATTAGTAGGAGCAATGGATAAAATAATATGTGCTTTGAACTTGACATGCAATATATTATAGTCTATTAGAGCAATGAAACAAAGTGTTCATTGATGTGTTGAAATGTTTCAATAATGTTTATCAGGCTAAGTAACAAGACTTGGTTACAAAAGCTTTCAAGATGCTAGCTAACGAAACTTGCTTACCAACTCTATTAATAAGGTAACTAATTAAACCTTCTTACAAAAGCTTTCAATCAGCTAACAAAAAAAACTTCCTTACAAAATCTTTAAAGAAGCTAACTAGAAAAACTTACTAAAGCTTTCAAGATGGGACCTAAAAAAAACTTGCTTACATAAGCTTTCACTAAGCTTTCCTTCACAGTCAAACTATATGTGTGACATATTGTTGGATAAAAATAAGCCCCAAAAATGTGTAAGATCTATGAAATATACATCTGTTTATTAGCTTCATTTGAACATATAAAAAGTCTAAGATATAATCAATCCAAAACAATCTATTGTTTTTCTTAACATACATTTTTTCTAAGAAAAAAAAAACCTTGATATTTGTGCAACCAAAACCACCTTTATCAAGCACAAAAAAGTACCAATATTTAGTCATTTTTTTATGGTATTATCACCACCTAAGTGGTTTATATCCCTTTATTGTCCTCTTTTGATCCCCAATTGATTCACAAGGACACCAGGTCCCAAAGGGAAACCCAGACATCCCTATTTACACTATTATCTAATCTGGGTTTGACTCAGACTTTCCTTTTAGTGAAGTATGCCTTGACAATAATCAAAGAGAGATGGCCACATATCCTGATTAAAATGTTTGAACAATATCAAATGACTCATTTGAACATGAAAGAGCACCTGGTCTACGCAAAACTCATGATGGAGCTCCTCTTCATCTTTTATTACTGTGCCAAGTCACCAAACTAATTTTAGCCACTTGAATGTAGAATCTTGTACTCATGATTCATTTCTTTGCATCACATGTCGAGCTAGAATGTGACCAGATAAGAGAATCGAGTGCTTCACTTTTTGGCTCAGCTCCTTCTTCACCTTATCAGGCTGGAAATGCACCAACAATGATACCCAACATTTTAGGAGACCCCTGCTTGAAGCTGTATTACAAATTCACCATATCTGTCTGTCTGTCTGTCTATCTGTCTATATAGATATGTATGTTTTTTATTCCAGCTTGACCTTTTCCCTCTTTTGCACCTCCTGTTGTTTATTATAGCTGATGTCACGTGTCAATTTCTACTTTGTGAGATCAATAAAGTTCTATCTTATCTTATCATCTTATCTTATCTGATCTCATAGCTCATAAACAAACTATAAGATATTTTAATATATAACTGAATTCCTCTGCTTAAAGGACATCCAAACAGATGCAACAATCCACCTTTTGTGAGTCAATAATCATGACCTCTGTCAAATATGCTGACTCTCATCCCAGACAGTTTCACAACCAGGTGTCAAGCTGTGTTCAATGCATTCTGAAGGTCAAAGTTTAAGGACAGAAACAAAATGACATAATTTGCAAAGTTCAAGGATGCAGCCCTGCGCCCAAAAAGAGAGATCATGTTTCTACCTTGAGATCCTGTCGCTAAAATGCAAAAAAGATTATTGACAAGAGGAAGCCTTGCAGAGTACACTCCATAGAGGAATGAAGCTTAATTTTGTGCCAAAATGGTAGAAACAGCCTTTTGTTTGGTATTACAAGGACTCTAATATGAACACAGTCACCACAGAGTTTGAAAGCATTAAAACTACAATCCTTGAAATATTCAAATCCACCAAATTTAAATGCTTAGTCCTTCTAAAGATTATGAAAAATTATTCTAATATCGTTTTCATGAATGCAGTGCATCTGCTGTAAAAAAAAATATATATATATATATATATATATATATATATATATATATATATATATATATGTATATACTCCAACCCTCCACAAAGACACACCAAACCCTGCAGGGATAATAATGATATAAAAATTATGTTGATTAAACTTGTAATAGTTTTTGATTAATATTTCACACAGAGTAACACAATGTTGGGCATTTTCTGTATAGAATAAGCCTTGGCTTGTACTTACATTGGTCTTTGTAAACTGGTTTGGTGGTAGACCTCACCGCTACCAATATGAAGAATAGAAAAAGAGGCCATACCAACTCTATAACCAGCCGCACCTGCAACAAAGATAATTTTCATTTTATGCAAATACTTTCGTTATAAAATACATGGGAAAGTCATTATGGCCATAGTAATTTGCCTTACTTTGTCATCTGTTAACAATAAATCCCCCTTTATCTAAAAGAAAGTCAGAGCCCATACAATAGAATAGAAAAGAAAAGAATAGAAAAGAAAATGTGGTGGGGAGGTTGAGGTATACTGTATCTGCAGCAACATGAAACATAAATGTAGGCACCCAAATACACATGAAGGTAAAATGTTAAAAGTCAATCTCAGTTCCTAACAACTAAGCTTAAATAATAACCTGACCAGAAACTGTTCAGAAAGTTACAATGAAGAAAAGAAAATGTTTTTATCCGTGTTTTCAGCTCCATGTTGATGTTTGAGTTCAGTTCATCACTTTACATCAGCTTTCCTCAGTTTACTCTGGCTATTACTCCAAACACAAGATTTAGAGAGCATTTTCTGCCAGTAAGTCTCTAAACTGAAGCTATCACACACTCCTTATCTCGTTGCCACACTCAATCCTCTCTTGAAAAAAAGAGTGTCAACCACTTCTTTCCGTTGATACAACCACTTCTTGCCACCTTGCAGGCAGAGTCCCAAGCGGCATGTCAGGTTTTTATTTTAACACCCGGGATTAGCGTAGAGAGTCAAACCAACAAAGCACAAATGTTGACCTCAATGCTTAACTTTCCCCTCAGGACCAAACAAACTTATGTACAAATTGATTTGATGTTTTCAGGAGTTAAAATGACATATGAGCCAGAATATATAATTAAGGAATGCAGAACATTTGGAATTGAAAGGAAAAACCCCCCTGAAACCCAAGAGAAACTTACCTAGTTACTGTAAACCCCTTTTGCATTTTTTTTTTTTTTCCGAGCTGTTGTTATATCACTATTAGCTTCAGCAACCGCAAATTATAACAATGGATATCAAATAGGCCATTTACTAAAATCTCAAAGAATTTGGTCAAATGAAAGATTAGTTCTATCATTTATATATTTTCACTCAGCTTCTGAATTTGTCTTTTGAACACTGTACTAGATTAAATTGTATATGAAGGTAAGGAATTTTATGTGTTAATACTGTAGATAAGTTAACATCAGAGGAAAAACTCAGAGACAGGATTCTCCCTCTTTCGGCCCCTTATTTTTATTATCTGTATATTCCCCAGGCTCTGAAACACCCAATTTACAGCAAACTCTGCGCTTTACACATAGCTCTATATTACAATGTTAGCAGGTGACTATAAATCTCTAAAAATGCTGGGTAAATGCATAGATTAAATAAATGCATGGATGTGCCAAAGGTTTCTTAAGAGGAAAAAAAAAACCCTGACGTAATAAGTTTTGAGCGATCAAACGTTAGCACACAGCTTTAGTTAGTAAAGGTGCCATGATCTGTCCTGGACTCTCAGTGCAGTGATGTACTCAGATGTGAAACTTCAGAGGTACATGAAGACTAAGACCTTCTTACAACAACTCAATGATGCTCAGTCAAACTTGATGCAATAGGGATACCCTGCTCATTATACATGAATGGCAGGGCTCATGCAAGGTTGTAGCAAGAACTTGGGGAATTCCAAAAAAGTAAAAAAAAAGCATCCACTGGACTTTGTTTCCAAGTTTGAAGATGTTTCGCTTCCCATCCAGGAAGCTTTTTCAAGTCAAAATGTTGGAAATAGCGTTGAGTTTGAGGCTTTATAGAGTGGACCAAAATGAAAAACCTTGTTTTGGGTTAGAAAACATGCAAATTGAACCTGACGAACAGCTCTGCCCCTTAGGAATGGGTAGTCGTTTGGGTTCTTTGTTAACCTGCAATACGTTATACCTGTCTATGTCTCTGCAACTTGGGGAAATTTTACATGAACTGCCAACTATGAAACTAACACTAGCCCATGCCTTACCCTTACCCTAACCCCTAAACCAGTAGTAAACATGTTACCATACATAGCCCCCTAAAGCGTATCATGCGGCACAGTGTTTGCAACCTTTCACACAGCCTGCATGTCCATCTATGAGAAGAGGGGTAGCTTTATCACACCACTATCTGAAATGCATGGTTTGACCAAGTATCAATATTTGACAAGTTAGGTGTGAGAATATGTTATAAAGACAGTGACTGTCAGCACACCATATTTGACTTTTCCTGTCTTCTTTGAATCTCTGCCTCCTTATACATTGAGAAGGACTGTCCAAGAAAGACTGGAGTCCTGCATATGATCCTACAGCCATGTTCAGTAAAACACATAAAACTACATTCTTAATGTTCTTTCTTGGTACTTGTTAGGATTTGGAGTTCTTCTATCTTGTTCCCTATAGATTTCTCACATAATGTGTGAATTGAATTTCCTTCTTTCTTTTGTTCTTGCTCCTGCTCTACATCCTCCTTGCCTCCATTTGACCTAACTGTGACTTGCGGGAGTAGCTGTAGAAGAGCAAACTGCCATTTTTGCTATGGTTATGTATACTAAAAAATTTGTAAAAACAAAAAGATATTGGCAAAAATAATTTTAGCTGCGTGAGGTGAAATACCTCACAAAAAGGTGAGGTGTTGGTCTAGTGATTAGGGCATAGAGCTTGGAATCCTGAGGTTCTGAGTTCGAGCCCCACAGGTTGCTACTCAGGGTCCTCGAGCCAGTCCCTTAATCTCATACTCCTCCCCGGGCACTGCACAATTACAGCCCACTGCTACCCAAGGGGATGGTTTAAACACAGAGCTAAGTTTCTCCAGTGTGAGATCAATAAAGTTCAGTTATTTATTTAAAAAAGGAAACTTTGAGCTGTTACAGTGGTATTATGTCTTCATTTTGTTTAAGGTGAGGTGACCTGGTTAGACCAGTCAGATGGATAAAAAAGGGGTAAGTTCAAAAAACTTTTCACTTTTTCCCACCACTGTTGAGATATAATTACTAAATTGTACATAAAATTATAAATTATATGTGTCATTTTCAGTCAGTTATGTCATGCATAACTGATACATAATTTAGATATATATTTAAGTTTTGCATAGCTATTCAATACGTTGAATATGTAATTTTATTGGCTTCTCTGAAATGAAGTTGATCGTTAATTTGTTCATTTTACTGAAGATATCATTGAAATTAATATGAGATGAAAACTGCTCTTTTCCTGATAAGTAAACAAAATTGGGGTAAAATGTGCTGAAATTCTGAATATTAATAAGAATGATGAAAATTACAAACTAGTCAATTCTGTTTCAGGTATCTGATTCCATCTAGTCGATATGTGTCACTGCAGATCTGCTGAGAGCAAACCTTATCCAAATGTATTACAAACTTACGAGGATTGGACAGTGATTGCACATCCCCGAGACTTTCTCAGTGTCAGGCTCCCCTCAGCATTATTCCATTGGACACAAGAGTCTTTGTGAATAGATAATCTCCTAAGAAATTATGCTGAATACCGGACCATAAAAATCAGTTTCATGCCTGTTATAAAATCCTAAAATGCCTGGTGAGGCATTCATATAATTGGTCATTAACCTCCACAAGCCCACCACAAGCACCATTGTCCTTGCTAACTCCCAGTGGTTTATCCTAATAATAATTTTTCATGTTGACGTCGGCTAAATACCAGACGATCTGAGCATGAAGCCACAACTGTCTAATTATACAGTATGTACATCATTGTAGAAAGGTGTCCCGTGTTTTTATCCCATGAAAAAAAATACCCATCTGTTTTGCTATTAAACTGTTAGATTAACAAAAGCCATAAAATTCTAACTCTGTTCTCAGCTGCTATGAATGTGCATTGATATTACTAAGTTTCTCATTTTTTCATATACTCCTAAAAAAGACAGCAGATAAAAACTGCTATGCTTGAGTCCCCTGACAAAAAAAACAACAAAAAAAATTGTGTGGATGTGTGTCTTGTATCGCCTCACACAATAAATTAAACAACACCTTGCAGATCTCTGTAACAACAACACCAGCCTGAAAAACCAAGTAAGTCACTCTAGATTCCTGAACTTCCTCTTTGGATGCTTCAAAGGCTGTTGTAATACTTAGGTAACTCTGAATTGACAAGATGAAATGTTTCAATTGAAATCAAAGGCAACTGTAGAGTGCAATATTGACAGTTCGTTTGAGGGCAGAGCAAATGTAAATGCAATCCTTTCTCTCTCTTGAACTGAAGAAAATTAACCTTAAAAAAAAAAACAGGACCTTCTTCTCATCATGTGTGCTTTTCTGATTGAATTAAGAAAAAATGTGAGTTTTACCCAGGTGCTTGGCATTTCAGCCCCCCACCATTTCATACGTTGGTAATTTTTATAATTTCTTAACCAGTTTTTTGCCCTAATCACTATATAGGGCAATATATAGTGGTTACGCCTTTTTAGATGAGTGTCGGAACATCTAGTGGATTAAAAATTAGTGAACTCGAAATTTCCAACAACGCGCCTTGAAAATTACCAATCATCTTCCAATATCTGCCCGGGAAATTGTTGCCATAGGCTGTCTCTACCTGACAGCGGCGACACATACTGTAACAGACAGCGCAGGCACTGAGCAGGGAGATGGAGTGACGTGACCAACGGGGAGCAAAAGTAGTGATCATCTGTCCAAACGGTAAGTTAACTGAGTTCACCATAAAGTTCACTTTATAGTCCCGCTCTATGTAGGGATTGAGGGATTTAGGCGGACATTCGGACACAGACAATGTGCTCTGTCAGTACATCTTTACTCCTATATACATATGTGCTTCCTTATCCTCAGTGGGTAAGATACTCACCAATAATAGCTCCACAGTGTTAGGAATCCAGTTTGTGTGGGTTGTTTGTGTGTTTCTTCTCTCTCCACCACTAGGTGGTGCCCTGTCCTCATTGGGCCTCCCTGCACACCTGCGGCTCTTTGGTTCATTACTGGAGGAGTATTTGAGCTGTGGGCTGTCACTACCTCGACGCCAGAGTGTTTGCCAGTTTTGGGTACTCTAGCCAAGCTGAGATTAGCTGAGTATAACCTAGCTTTGTTTCTCTGAGTCTTATGTGTTTTTGCCTTTGCTCTTCGGCAGGAAGCCTTCCTGTGAAAACTGGATACCAAGACCTTCTCCCCCTGAAAGGTAATACTGAGTTTACACTGAGCAGTGGAAAACCTCCACATGATCTATTCAAGTCCCCATTAGAAATACAAGTGACAGTCTGCTCCATTACTCCTCTGGGTCCAACGTAAGTCTACCTGTCTGCTCTCCAACGAGTTCCCTCTTCTCTGGATAATCACACACAGACTGGATTCAAGGATTGACAAGAGCCCCCTCAAACGTGAGTCCCTCTCCAGCATTATTCAAGCCACAGTCTCATTTCCCACGGTCCCTGACCTTATCTCTGTGATCTCCCCTTCAGACTTTCCAGTTTCGGTTCACCAGTTTACTGAGTTTCAGATCCAACCTCTGTTTACATTACATCAAATAAACCCGTTAAACTTTTCCCTGTGTTCTCTGAGTGGTTTCTCTGCATGTGGGTTTCCTTAAACTGATCATGACACACAGATTGTTCTTTTTTATAAAACTTTTTTTCTGTTGTTAATGTCCAATTTTAAACAAATGATAATAATTATTCAAGTAAGGATATATTTTTAGAGACAAGTATTCTGTAAGCTTCTTTGTTGGATGCCTTTGAAGAAAAGAAAGGACTTTAACAGCATCAAAAAATGCTGCATGGCAGATGAAATCGAAGTTAGGGCCTGTAGTGAAATTAACTGAGACAGTCAAACCTTTAAGTTGCTTTACTGTGACTTTTTAAAGTTCTAATAAGCAAACTAGGCCTTCAAAGCAGTACAATTTTCAAGTGAACAATGGATATTTATATCCTGTGTCAGATTATTTTCGAAATTCTTGATGTCACATTAATTTAGATGTTTGATTAAGAAAAAAAACTGTCATCAAAGAAAACATCATAAAATATGTAACCAAAAAAAAGTTAATTAAAAACTGCAGATTTTCTATTGATAGTTTTGCAACCTTCTATTGCATGTCTGATCTGTGAGAAGATAGACTTTCTGCCCTTCAAACGAAGCCTTTTAAAGTCCCTATCCATTTCCACTGGGCCTAACAATGACTTTGTGAGAAGTAAAATACAAGCAATGTGACATAACGGGTAGAAGAGATAGATCATCAGAAATTGAAGGTGACACTCTGAATTGGCTGGTATTAAGATAAGATTGTTCTCGTTCTCTAGAGAGGGAGTTAAAGATAGCTTACTTCTATAAGAGACAATTTTTGTTGTAAATCCCTGCCTATTACCGTTCCTCTCCATGAATAACTTAGCTGTCCTTGATAACACAAGTCTTGGACCACATCCTCATTTTCCCCCTATTGCTGACCAATTCTGGCAGATACACATTGATTCGTGTAGAAAAGAAAAAGAAGGCGGCTGGAGAGCACAAGTGTACCTTTTGTCTCTTCCGGAGAGTGAAGTTCTTCCACAGGAGCAGAGAAAACTGCGTCAAGAGACCCATTATGGCTTTTCCTGGCAATATCGTGCCAGTGCGTCGCGATGGCAACTGGCCCACTTACTAAATCCTGGAGGGAATAAAAAAGGCAGAGTTTGGTTTTAATACAGCTGCGCAATGCATCTTGGGGGAGTGCCACTAATCACTCACTTCCTCGAGCCTTAGGGCTTACGGTGCAGCACCTGTTCGAAGAATTATTATCACCTATGCTCAGCAAATCTCAGGACAGCCAACATCTCAGCATGTGAAGATTATACGGTTTTCCCCCATAGCACAAGATTTTTTTCAACAAACACCATGAATTTGAAAGATAATACAACCTATAATAGAAGTAGGGGAAAAAAGCATTCTGTCAAACAGCGAAAAAGTCAGTATCTTGGTGCCTTTAGTCTTCCTTATTCCATAGTTAGCATTAAAAAAAAGACTGCAACAGCTTCCTCATTTTTGTAACAGAAACTAAATTCTGATGTAAAATATTCATAGCATGCTTTATGAGCTACTTAACTTTCATAACATAGTTAATAAACAACCATGTCTGCTTTGCTATTTTTATGCTCCTAGATCAGTTATGACCTTTTTATTATAGCACCACACGTGACTGTCTTTCTACTGACTTCACCCAGCTTGTTGGCTTTGAATATAGTGCAGATTACAGAGACATGATTGCTGCTTCTCTTTATGTCCGGCCTGTTATTGTTGCTTCATTGCCGTCCTTTTTTCTATTTCCACATAAAACAAAACCTAAACCAAATCCCACGTTGAAGCTTATTTAGACTTTAGACAGACTTGATTTGTCATTTTGTACACACAGTGTATAAAAAGAAATTTCAGTACAGCTCTCAAGACATTTTCTTTTTTTTAAGTGCAGCCGTGATAAAGGTAAGCAGCAGTGATAATGTAAACTTACCACTGTACATAGGTTACAGTTCCAACATTCAGGTTTTTTTTTTTTATAAACCCATTTTAAACAACATTCAGCAGTATTGCAGATACAAACAAAGCAAAACACTTTTTTGTGCTTCCTATTTATAATGATTGAGTGTATATCAGTAACATATAACAACCCCTTATATGAAAATGACTGAAGTGGCGAAAGATGGTGCCATAGTCCACAGCTTGCTATTTTAGCAAGGGGTGATTCTGGGTAAACTGGGGCCTATCTTTCTTGAATGTAGGAATGTAGAGGCCCCGGTTTCTTCCCCTTCTGTCAGAATTGGCCAGGTAAGGGTTAAGTTGCTTAAGAACAAAACGCTGATATTGAAGATTCCTTCTCTTATAATAAATTGAATTGAATGATAGAATTCCTCTTTGACAGCATCTTGGATATCTGAGAGGTCAATGATTTTTGAGAGCTTTGCCACCTGTTGTGTTTATCTAAGTCTTAGCAGACATTATCTGAAGGAGGAGTAGTATTGGAGTTAAATGATTGTCCACCTAAATACTAAAATATCATAGAAAAACAGTTATCATATCCCCTTGGTTTTGAGATTATAGTACACATGCATGTTGTCTTGATACCATAATGGTTACTGAGTCTTACTACATGACTTGTCTGTTTAGAATGTAATGTTTTGACATAGATCCAATATGGCGCTGTGCGTAGCTGCCATGGTTTTAGGTGCCCTTTGTTTTATTGTGTGTTAAAGCCTTTCTCTGCTGTGATCCCAGTAGCTCTAGTCACTGGAGAGGAGCTAATAAACATTAGAGGGAACAACTTAAGTTGATTTCTTTTTTACTTTTCAGTGGAATTAGTGACCATTTTGGTCACTCCTTTTATACTATAGAGTGGCGCAGGAGAGGAAAGAGAGACAGGTCCATTATGCGTCTTCACCGAGAGTATTCCATATGCTATGCTGGCAATATTTCATGTCAATGTTCACTTATGTGCAACAAACTGGATGGACCTTAGCTATTGGTGAAGATAATCAGATACTTTATTCATCTACTATTCTTTGCCTTATAGTGACTGAATTATCTAAACAGATACTGGTCTCTGCACAGCAGCTGGCTGGCATCCAAATGTTCAGAGTGGACTTTGACACAAGAGGAGAGGTATCTGCTTTTAAATCTGAAGAAGCTGCGTACTGATGTGACAGTGAGTTACCAGCAATGCTTTTTAAATCTGAAATATGTTATTGTTAACTGCAAACTTTTCTCACCCCCATGAGTTTGCTTTATTTACAATCACTGGTCTTTATATTTTGCCACTGGGCAGCGAGGATAACACAAGACAAGACACTGTTTGTGGAGAAGACAAAACTAAACATTGTTCTTCATGTTTTCTTGTTACTGAAATAAATTTTTCAATTCAAGGCAATTCGATTAAATTCCGTTTAACTTGATTGATTCCAGTTAAATGTATTCACATACGTAGCACCAATTTACAACACGTCATCTCAGGGAACGTTGCAGGGACAACCCAATCAAATTGTTCAGACAACTTGATTAAATGTTTGCTGATTGCATCCAGTCATTGGCTTTGCTGGATTTCCTCCTCATGGATGAGCATGTAGCGATAGCAGACATTCACTTGCATTGGGTGGTTGACTCTGCAGCAATCTCTTAGTAAGCATGAATGCATGAAAGTGGAGAGAGAAAAAAACTCTTTAAACAGGAAAAAATCTCAGGTAAATACAGGCTCAGTGTTAGCAGGCTTTCCTCTGAGGCTGACTGGGCGTTTAGAAAGGACTGAAGCAGACAGGGGCAGGCTGGGGTTGAAATTTCAGCCTGGCTGCTTAGTTTGGTGAGGCTTTAAACCATGACAAGATTCATGATTATAATTTAAACAGTTTGTTTCCAGTAAAAAAATTTTTTCAACAACTACAAGTACAGATATGTATGCATTTTTGATAGAAATAAAGACTAAATCTAACTTACTAATAGCTTATAGTATCATTAAAAATCATAGCAAATGAATAAGTTCACACAACCTATATACAAGATGTCCCTGAATGTTATCACTTTCACCCTGTTTTCAGATTTTAAAAAGCCACATGTCGGACTACAATCCCCAGATGTCAAAAAGGTTAATATAACGCTATGCAAAGATCTATTTTCAATCAATCCCTGGATAATAGATCTCTACATGGAATTCTTTTTCTTTAGGTTCCTGCTCAACTTTCATTCTTCTTCTCCACCTGATACTCTTCAATCCCCTTTTCCTTATCCTGTCCATTCTAATCTCTCTCCTCCTCTTACTCCTCAGCCTCTTACAAATAAACAGTAAATTACTCTACTATTTTTTTCAGCTATCAAAGACATTTTATAGAAACAGGGCAGGAAAACAGAGTATAAATGTATTTAAAAGTTGTTTTGTTTTGTCTTTGGATAGGTAGGGCTCTGAAGTTTTATTTAAAAATATTTTTCAAGCAAAGAAAAGAGCCTGAATCTCTGACTTCCAAAAGTGGCGTTTTATTAAAAAGAAACTTGGCATTAAAATGTTTGGGTCTTTACACTATCTCTGAAGTATCCGTCAGGCTATTCACAGTTTAGAGAAAAGGGTAAATTAGCAACATGGATGGTCAATCAGGGGAGTTAAAGCCAGAAAGCCACTCCTCTCTGTCCTTTAATGTCATTTCATATAAAGCTTTAGTCGTAGATTCACTTTGCATGGTATAAAACTGCAGAGTAATATATGCTTGCTCTGCTGAGCTGTAAATATGCATAAAGAAAAAGGTTTCATAACCAAATTTGAATTATAAACTAAGGTGCACACAATATTAAAACATTTCTCACCCTTGCATTCCTCTCCCTAATGATCAAGGGGGTGAGTCGTAGGGCTGGGCGATATAGAAAAAAAGCTTATCGATAAAAAAAATTCATATTGATCGATATCGATAATTATTGAAAAGATTTGAAACCATATTTTATGTGCAGCTCTGCCTGGACTTTTTATAATATTGCTAAATGATTTAATTTTAATAAAAAACACAAACACAGACTTCGAATTAAATCTTTATTTAACCAACTTTTTTAACCATAACAGAATTGTTTTAAAGAAAAAATAACTTAAGAGACCTGAGATATGCTATGAAATATAACATAACTCAGAATAAACTAAAGTGACCAGAAAAGTGACCAAAATAAATATAACAAATAAATAAATGGACCTGAACCTGGTTCAGCTTAGTTTCCTGCTTTAACCTGAGTTATAACTTTGAAGTTGCTGGACCCTCAGCATTTTTCTCTCAATTGTTAGAACTACGTGGGAAACTGCCCAGAACTGAAAATATATATATATATATTTTCCCGAAATTCCCGAAGATTCCTCAGAGGAGAGCCGCGCCGGGGCCTACACAGCTCGTACTCCTGCGGGTGTGAGCGGTGGAGATGATAAAAAAAAAAAAGTTGGTTGTGTTATCAGACTTCATTTTCACTGGTTCCCTACACATTTTACAGATGACAGTGGTTTGTTTTTTGTCCGACTTGCCATGACCGAAATACTGCCAAACTGCCGAACTACAAAAACCCTTCTTTGAAACAATTTCCTCCGCCTCTCCTTGCTGCATCTTCATGTGCTCTGTGTTGTGGTTTGAGAGGGCGGCGCTTTGTGACGACGTGCCTGGGTCCGCAATTGTGATTGGTTGGGAGGAAGCAGTGACCAGCATAAACCTACATGCTAGGCTACAATGAGAAGGAAGGAAAACTGCGTTTCTTTTTTATCGAACTTTTATCGACTCTCTTTTTTTCTATTGCGCCACATGTCTATCGATCAATATATATCGTTATTGAATTATCGCCCAGCCCTAGTGAGTCGTACCACAAATCAATACATCAGTGTAAAAAGGTGTAGGGAATTGGCACTGTTTGCTGGGATTAGGGATTAGGGATCATTGCCCAAGACCTGAAGTGGTATGGAGGACCTAGAGAAACACTGAAAAAGCAAACCAGTCATTTCAAATTAGGCTGGGATTAGGCTGGAATTTTTTTTTATTCTGTTGCTGTTTTTAAATCATTTATAGAGCAATTTATAATTTTAATCAAGCACCAGCACCCCTCGCAACCCCACTTCGGATAAGCGTGACAGAAAATGGATTGATGAACGGATCATTTTAAACATACAGAGCATTT